AAAAAAAATAGAAGTAAAGGCATTTACAGACATGTACAGACTCTCAGCAAAAATGAGATAAAAAATAAAATATGTTTTTTAAAAATTTAAATAAAATTCTAATTTAAAACAAAAAAGTAAAGGTAAAAAAAAAAAAAAAAGCGTAAATTCAGGAGGGCAATCCAGCAGCCAGGATGCTGCCCAGCAAAGTCCGATCCTTTAAAGCGTTTTCCACGTCTTTCTCCTCAATCTTTAGGAAAACCTGTAGGAGAAGACAAATCCGTCAAACTGTGTTTGGACAACAGGTCTCTGACATTAATGCAAAGTTAACCAATGTTTGTCCAACAGAAGATATCCTACCTTGGTTAGTCGAGATTCTTTGGATTTCTTCAGCGCGAAGATCCCTCGACTCTCCAGCAGAGAGCAGAGCGACAAACACTCACCTTGACCCACCGCAGACACCTGCCTCTGGGCACAGAGTCGACTGTAGACCTCATGTAGCTGAAACAACATAGCAGACTCGGTAAGACTGACATACAGCGCCACCTGCTGGTGGTTTGTACAACGAGAATTTTAGGGGGAGACGGAGGGAAAATGACAACTGCAGATGTTTAGACTTTAATGTAAATAGGGACCCCGAAAGAATGTCTACATACAAAAAACTTGACTTGTTTTAGTGAGAGTTAAATTTTAAGTTTGTTAAAAAGTTGAGGAATATTATATATTTTAAATATAATATTATATATATAAATAAATAAATAAAAATAAATAAAAGTTCCTCTTAAAATATGTGGCGCTTGGGTAATGAGAGTTGAATTTTTTCGACTCACCTTCCCCAGGACAACTTCTTTGCTCTTCCCACTGCGGCTGAGCAGCAGGAGGCAGCAGACCAGCAGCTTCTGCTGCAGAGGGAAACTCTCTCCGTCTGAGCTGCTGCTCTGAGACGACATCCTGTCGCCGTACACCTCCGACAGGACCCGTGCCACCTGGGGGAGACTGACCCGTCCGGCTGAGGAGGGAGGAAACAAAGGGAGGGGAAAAGGGGTGAGTAACCAGCCGAGATGAGAAGCTGGATGGGAAGGGAAAAGGAAAATCCTTCAGAAACTCACTTTGTGTCTTTGAGTCTGCTTCCGTTTTCTTCTTCCTCTGGTCCGACTCCACCATCTCAACTGCTCTCCTGCAACGCGAGACAAACAGCACGTGCTGAAGTCACTCCTCCGATCACTTGACTGTGACATCACAGCAACAGAGCATGACCAGAGCAGAAACATGGCTGAATTTAACCTGGACTGAGTTTTCTGCAGTCCAGTTAAAACCTCTCACCTGCAGATGTCCAGAGCTTTGCGGGCGTCTCCGGACACGGCAGACACCTTCCTGGCACAGAACTGAACGGCCGAGGCCTCCAGGATCTCCTGGGCAGCAGCCTGAGAGCAGACATTCACCATGACATTCAACACTGCGACTGATGTCTGGATGCTTCCGTCTTTGCTCCCGATCCTTACCTGTGTGAGTCGGTCCTGTACGATGGCCGCCAGCTCCTCGCGGCTGTACGGGGGGAAGTTCAGCAGCTGTGGGCGACAACCGGGCTGAGCCTGGAGCCTGGGCAGGATACGGTCGGTCAAGTCGAGTGCGTTAGCAATACCTAAGGGGAGAGGAGAAAAGAATAAAATAAAATTAGGTTTTAGATTTAAAGTGTTTACTTTAGGAAACAAACAACCAAGGCTGTCAATCACAATCAACACAGTCCAATCATCTTCACCCTTCCTCCACCACTTCCAATAAACGACTTTGATTTACAAACTGAACAAATATTCTGATGCCAAGTCCACAGATCATATGGAAAACAGTTGAACTCAGAAATCTGGAAAGTCTTGACCTTTGACCTCAACAACACTCTATATTTTAACAACCATATTCGTCCTCAGGTAGTGTAGAACTGTTTTTTAAAACAGATCTGATTGTTTTTTTAAATTATTTTCTGACTATGTTGAAGCTGCAGACACTGTAAATTCAGACAGTTAAGATTCATCATCATCATCCACTGACCAATGAGGCAGAGGCGAGACTGGGGCAGGTGGGGCCATTCAAAGATGGTGTAGAGAACGTCCTGAGCTTTACTGTCCAGCTGGTCCATCTCGTCTAGAACCAGCAGCCTGAAGAACAATATAGAAGACCAGGACATTAAACTGTTGTTCTAATTTCAGATGTAAACTTTTATATCATAACTTTAGGCCTGGGTCTGGTCTACTCACACACTGGGCCCAGATGCCATCAGGAACTTCTGTAGGCCTTTCTGTCCACCTGATGTTCTCAGCTTGTTGGCCAGCAGTGGGAAGATGGCGTTGGAGCTTCTCAGACTCATACAGTTCACCATCACAGTCTGCACTGACGACATCTGAGCCTGAGCGAAAACACACACACACACAAAGGTTGGTTGGTTCTGTTTAGAACTTCAACGACTCACAGAACCATACGTCAAAGAATGGATGCATCATTTCGTCCTTCTACATCAGTTATAAACATTCGTGCCTGAAAAAGCTTCTCACGTCTATAATACAAATGTATGTTTGATGACATCACACTACAGGAACTACCTTCTATCTCCATGTCTTAAAACATTCAAAAGTGTTTCAACAACACTTGACAGAGCTCTAACCAAAACATTTACCTTCATCTCCTGCAGGACACAGTTGAGACACGCCGTCTTTCCCGTCCCTGGAGCTCCAGAGATGTAGAGACTGCCAGCCTGACGCTGCAGCACCTTCTCTTCCAGGAAGGCGCGGATGGACTTCCTCTCAACTTCTCTGGACAGAAGACGCTCAGGGACAGCGGTGTGGAGCGACTGCTTCACACTCTGGAACCTGGACTCTGTAAAGGAAAACAGTGAGGTTCATATATACTTCAAGAGGGGATAATGTTCCCAAACATAAGACCAGGAGAAGATACCGGTCAGGAGATGCTTTAACTCTCTTAGTCTCCATCAACAATGCCCACTTGTCACAACCTCACCCTCTTTCACCAAATTCAAACAGCTAACAGTGACTTAGAACTGACACAACCATGAACATATTTCCTTTTTCTGAAACAAAAACTCACTCTCAGGGAACAGTTGAACCACTGGAGGCGTCTTGTCCTGTCGAGCAGGACTTGCAGCAGGGGTCTCCTGTCTCCTCGGGGACGAAGCCGGGTGTCGTGGCGAGGATGGGACGAGCTGACGACAAGCCAAGGCAGGTGAGTTTTCATCAAAGTGGAGTTTACGCGGCGAGCCCAGCGCCTGTTTGCTCTGTTTGGGTGGCGACCCCAGCAGAGTGCCAAGGTTACAGCCGTTCTCATCGCCTTCAGAGAGCAGAGAAAAAGAAACGTGTGAGCAGGGACTCAAACCCTAGACCAGGCATGGGCAAACTTTTTGACTTGCGGGCCACAATTGTCCTAAAATTAAACAGCAGGGCCAGGTCAGAAGCAGATAGATGGAGCATTTGGGTGAACTAAGATAAATGACATGTAAAAGCCATGCATAAAGCCTAAAATGTTTTATCATTTTCTATGCCATCTATTGGGAAAACGTGGGTATTGCAGGGTACAGGCAGAAGTATAATGATAATATAAATAAATTAAATAATTTGGAAAAGTTTGGCAGGCTGAATTAAAAGGCTGAACGGGCCACATCCGGCCCCAGGCCATTAGTTTGTCCATGTCTGCCCTAGACCTATCTCCATGGTGAGAACTAAATGTCAGGCCACATGATCAAACTTACCTGTGCGTTTACGGGGGCTGAGAGGAAGACGTGGCTCAGCCCGGGGAGATGATGGGGGAGCTCGCCTGGGCAATAGTGGGACAGAGAGCTGGTCACTGGGCCGTCGTGGGGACAGTGGTCTGGCACGCAGCAGAGCAGAGTCAGGCAACAGTGGCTCGACCTCAGGGGGCGAGGAGTTCTCAGTCCTGCTGGGGTGAAGATTTTTGACATTCGTGACAACCCTGCAGGATTTGCGACGGGGGAACTGAAGTGTGGTCTGAGGGCGGCCCTGAGAGCGAGTGCTCGGCATTTTTGACAGCTGTTCCTGAAATATGACAAAACATGACCCGTGAATCAGTAGGAAATGGAACAACTCTGCAGATTAGAAAGTAGAACTAAAACACGGTCCTGGAGGGAAGAAACATGTTCGTGGTCACTTGACCCCTCATTTACCTGATTCCTGGGCAATACGGTATCCACTCATTTATGACATAAATTAAGTTTTAGGAATGCAAACACTAAACCATGTCTTTCATCATGGTTTTAAAGTGAAGCTGACAATGAAAGAACATGTGCCTGGCACTCCTTAGCAGAGTGATCCTAGCTTTTAATACAAGTAGAACATCTGAGAATAATGGGCTCCATAAACACGTACGTTTAAACCAATATATTACAGCTTTGGATACCTTTATTTATCCACCTGCACCGTGTTGCCAACGCAATTACAACGCATATAACATACCACTAGAGGGAAACCAAGTACTACGGACGGGATTCATATAATTTGAGAACTGTTGGTTTATCAGTGGCTCTCACCAGCATTAAAGTACAGACATTTCTTTTAAAAACCGTATTTGTTTAAAATCTTAAGAATTTTGTGCAAAGCGTTCCCCCTAAATGTCCCCCTCTGGGCTTCCATACTAGCATTTTATGTAACCAAAGTCGTGTTTAATCAGCGACAGCGAAACACTGTGAAAAGAAAGAAAATGGCGTCAGATATCTTCCACTGACTGAGCCAAGAGTCTTAAAGTCGGGTTGAGCTTTATTCAGTCAGTGAAGCAGCAGAATCATAAGGCGTTCAGATTAAACACGAGCACGAAACAATGTTGGTTTAATGGCGCCAATAAAACAAGGCCATAATAACAGAGGAGTGCAAAACCACGACGAAAGAGACACGAAAAAGTTTGAGCTTGAAAACTACAGACACACGTTAACATATGTGTTTCATGTCAGAATCCGTTCATTCTGATAGATTTAAGAGGGAAATACACTATAACACCAGCGTAGATAGGGAGAGCAGAGACTACATTGACGAATAAAAATATTAAAACCGAACAGAATGACAATGACGTTACCTGCGTTTGAATACGAAATTAAACTATTGTATTGCTCCGAAATCTCTTCAAAATAATCTCAAAAAGTAAGCTCCTTGATAGATTCCTTGTCTCTTTCTCTTCCAGTGCAAGACTGAAACAGTAGTTGCGCCAAAGCGCCTTCTCACACAGCAGCTGTTTCCCGCCGCTGTTCTGATTGGTTGAGGGTTTACCATCCTAGATGCTGATTGGTTCGTGGACGGAAATGACGTCGCATGTCGTGCAGCCCAGCCTTTGGTGGAATCTTTTCCCGGGAACAACAGGCCGAAGATAAAAAGTGATTTGATTTGATAGAAACTGTCTGTGAATTACTGATCACCGCTGGCTGTTTTTTTTCTGTAGTTGGGTATAAGAACGTGTACAAGTTCTTCATATCAAATATAAACAATAATAATAATAAAATCTTAGTTTATACCGTTTCAGCATCAAACAACAATGCTTGTTGTTTTGATACTTGACTACTTGATACTTGAGTTCAGTAGTGAAGAATTTTAAAGCATGTGAAATGAAAAACTCAAAATGTCACCTATAAAAATTACCAGCATAGCAACGTATGGTACATAACAGTGACACTAGTAAAAAATAAATATTCAAAAAACTTTTTTTAACTCTTTGATGAAAAAACAACAAAATGTCCTTGAAATACCTCAACATATTCACCGACATGTATACTTTTTGGATAGAAATGCCAAAAAACGGCATGTAAAATATTGATCAAAAGCAGCATACATGGGGAAAAAAATACAAGGACACAGCCTACGTAAACTTTTTGTACTTTATTTTGAAAATCCGGTCTGCAGACGAAGGAAGCGACGTCTCTCTCAGTGGTCGAGGATACGCAGGTTTCCGGAGACTATTTTGTTTTCCAGCATTGCTCCAGCGGGAATGTCGATACGCTCGCCGTGGTTTGCGATAATGATGACCGTCCCCTGAATTTCCAAAATAACACATTTAAACATTTTGGATAATAAATTCCTTAATTTTTTAAACATAAAAGGCTATAATTGTTTGACTAACATTTAGCTGTTTCTGTACCATGTTTTGGGTTCAATTGTATTAAACTAGATTACATATTTTGTTGTTAAATATAAACCTTTGCATTTCTAAATTTTCACTTGATTTTATCCATGTCCACTAATATTGTGACAATATTTTGTTGCTGCTGTTATATATATATATATATATATATTACTACGTTTATGCTATGCTGCTTTTGTTAGTCTTACCTTTTAGTTTATCATTTTTTACTTCTTAAATAATTTTAATTTCAATTCTTAAATATGTTTATCTAAGTGTGGCTACATTAGCTCATATTGACTGGATGTAAAGATTTTTTTTCTTCTAGATAATTATTTAGCAAATTTAGAATAAATGACCTGGCTGTGGTTTAAAGAGTAATTAGTTAATGAAGCTAATTACATATTTCAACTATAAATCAGTTGCATAAACAAATGAAGTAAATATATTTTTGACTTTAACCTTTAGAGAAACATTTTTGCCAAAGGTGACATCTCCAGAGACGGTCAGGTGATCCAGTTCCAGGAGGTCAGGGATGTTCTCAAACCTGATCAAGTACTCCTGAACCTGAACAATAACAACAAATGACAAAAAACACACAGAAATGTAACATCAATCAGAATTGTCTTAATTAGGTCTAAAGAATTTTTTTTCAGCTATTATGTAGTAAAATGTTAAGAGAGAAGAACAGAGAAACTAATACATTTTAAATGTATAATAATAATTAGAATAAACAAGTTAAATTCATAGTTTTAAAATATTTTTGTTAATTTTAGAACATGTGTGACTTTCCAAAAAAAAAAAAACAACCTCCCTCCACATTGGCTTACTTTGGTGAAGGAGCTACCCAATTTGACATGCGGTGTGGAGGGAAACTCCCGGCGTGGGCTCATGGTGAGCGACCCGGCGTCCAGGCTGTAGAGGTTGGACATAACCAGAAGGAGGTCAGAGGTGGTCTTCACTGGCAGGAAACGACTGCGTGGAACATTCACGCCCATCGCTCTCTTAAAGCTCTGGATGGCTGCGCCCACCGCTGTCTCCAGTTGCAGGACGTTTAGACCACCGTCCAGAGTCTACATCGACAGAGTCACAGCCACAGACGTCAGCAATAAAAAACAGAAAACATGAAAAAACAAGTAGTGCAGTGTCGGGGTGCGAGCGCAACCTTTGCATTGACGATGATCTCCAGGTCCATCTGGTTGTTCTGCTGCAACCTTTTGATGGCAGGCAATGAGATCCACAGGTTGTTGGTGTTGAAGATCTTAAATTTAGTGACGGACTTAAACTCGTCCACGTGAGCCTTGGGGACCTGAGCAATTTCCAGCAGCTTCAAGTGATCCTCGTACTGGATCAGGGTTCCACCCTGCAGGGGTAAGATGAAGGGGGGAGAGACTTCAACATACAAATACATGCAGTAACAGTAACAGCAGCAGTAACAGTAACAGCAACAGCAGCAATCACCTTGACGTCAGCTCTGGTCTTGTCCGTCACCTCCATGATGAACTCACAGCGCTTGTCCTCAGGTTGACTCATCAGCTGGTGCAGGATGTGCAGGTCCACGGTGGCTCCCAGGTTGTCGATGTTGGACACAAACACATACTCTTTGCCCTCAGAGATCAGTTGGTCCAGCAGACCGGAGTTGTAAAAGCTGGCGTAGATGTCGCCGTGACCTGGTGGGTACCAGGCCTCAGAGTTCTCGCCACTCAGAGCCATGCTTTTGGCGATGGGCAGAAGCGACTCTTTGTTAATCCTCGGGTATCTGTCAAGGAGGAAAATAAAGAAATGACCTAAAAATATTTTACTCTTGGTAGCATTATTTATTTTACTGTACTATCATTATAGATAGAGTGGCGAATATAAATATTAGCTGAAAGGGGCTAAAATTGAGGCAAACAAAGAATTAAGTCAGAACTGCAGAAGGAAAAAATATGTCTAAGCCAAGGATATAGAGCTTAAAGTTGTCAATATACAACAGAAAAACCCTAAATGTAGGCAAAAAGAATTTTCAACATAGCTATAATTAGCTATAATAAAAAAATAACTAAACAATCGAATCAAAAACTTCATCAGTTAACAAGATTTCTGGATTTTTTTTTTATTTTTATACTCTGATAACCTGTTCACTATGCTATAAAAAAATAGAAAAATATTTTTTTTCTGGACATGGCAGGTTCATCATTTAAGTCCTGTGGTCACTGTGTAGGTGGGTGGAGCTGTTACCTGCTCTGGTTAAAGCTGTGTATTTTGACTTGATGATGTTTGTATTTCTGCAAAATTTTCTTTGTGTCTTCATCTGTATTAAAGGAGTTCATCAGGACCAGAGGAACATCTGCATTAAAGGTTTTATTCAGATGCTGAAATAATAATAAAAAAAAAAAAACATTAAAATGACAGCAGCGTAAATGAGGTCCAGTGGTGGTGATGATAATGATGGAGGTGGTGGTGATGGTCATGATTAAGATAAAGATTAAGAAGTCCCACAATGGGTACAATTAACAGCAGCTGAAGTACAGTCAAATGTGTAATAGTGAAGCATAGCTTACTGCTATAGAAATAAGGATATCAGCTTGCTAATTGGAAATACACTACACAATAGTGGGAGCTGCCGGCACATGGGAGGCCCCATATGACGAACTGCTAAATGATGGTGGTTATGATGAAAATGATCACTGATGGTGTTGGTGATAATGGTGGTGTTTGTGTTTGTGGCAACAGCAATAGCAGGGGCTGCTTCTCTACCTCAATCTGCTGCACCGTCAGGTCCAGGAAGGTGTTCTCGCTGCGGACACTGATCAGACTCTTTGGACCTTTGCAGCCCATGCTGGTCCCCAGGCCGCCATTAAGTTTGACCACGGCAAGTTTGTTGAGGCTGGTTCTGATGTCGTCAGGGAGACCCTTGGCCTTGATCTTCTCATAGGGCTGGATCTGAAAGGGCACGTGTGTGGGGCAGGTTCAGCACAGACACTGAAGTTTGTTTGATGTGCTTTGTTTGATGTGCTATGAGCACAAGTATTATAGACAGAGGGGAAGTGCAAACATGGCTGACACACTGGTTCAGACAGTTCATAGAGAAAATCAATGATTTTAGCTCACAGACTAAAGTCCATAGATTCAGAGAATTCGCTCACTGAAATGATTGATTTTCTCCTCAAGGTTTGGTTTGGTACAATGAGGATTTTTTTTTGTTTCTTGTTAAAAAGAATTTCTAACAGCAAGATTAAACACTTTTTCAGGAGCAGTTTGAGAAGCAGTGGCTTCAATTAGCCTGGAATAAGGTCTGAAGAAGGCTGTAGTCTGGCTGAGAGCCATTGCTGTGTTTATACAAGAATAGTTCTGTTTGCGTGTGTGTGTGTGCATAAGTGTGTGTGTCTGTGATAGACAGGAGATAAATGTCAAACCTCTAAAGGCAGAATGTGAATACTGCAGCGGTTAAACTATTCTTAGTACTAACCTTCAGTGAGCTGGTGTATTCTGGGAATATGCAAGTGTGTGTTTGTGTGAAAGAGAACAGTCAGTCAGATCTGGTTTCATATGTCTTCAGTTGCAGATGAAGGATTACTTAGCTTTACTTTGCTTGTGTTGCTTTAGTGGACTAACTTTAGCTAAGTTTTGTCAGAATTCAACTATTTTTATTCAGCAAATATGTATCTTTTTTTTAATATATTCTATGTTGATATTGTAGTGAGGTAAAGACTGACTGGACTCACATGATTTGTCACATGACTGACATCAGAAACCCACAGCTGAGATCTGAACAGCATGACACTGTGACACTCACCACCTCCTCAGGTGGTCGTTTGATTTTGGACCATTCCAATGAAGGACCTTTGACTCGCAGGAACCTGTGGAAGAGCTGTTTGAAGCCATCAAAGTCCTTCCTGGAGCTCTGAAAAACAAAAGAGAAGAGATTAACTTCAGCTCTTGTAAATACACCACCAGCAGCCAAAAAACGAGGCAAGAATTAAGGGGACCAAGTATCGAACTATAAAATGTGGACAAAGACAATGTTTAAGACGACATTGTGGGACAGACTAGATCTTCAGAAAGAGCTACCAATGTTTGATTGGTCTCCATTTAAAAATATGTAGTTGCAATTACAAGGTTTTACTATATAAGATTCTGTTAAGGCTATGAAAAAAAGTTCCTCAGCCACTTCTGAGACTTTTGAAGCTCTTGTTTTCCACGACTGGAAAATTAGTCATCCATGTTTCAGATTTTGGAAGATGTGTGGGAACCATGATATTGCTCCATTCTAATTAACTTTATTAATATTAAAGGACATGCTTCTGGACTAGGTGATGTCCTACAGGTATGTGTAGTTTAATAAACAACAGTAACAGAAGGACCTACTTTCTTCTCAGACACAGATGTAAGTGCATCACATCTGAACAGACTGTGAACATTTAATTCTCAGTCTACAATTCTCAGTTTAACGGGCCAGTGGAAAGATCTTTCAAATGCTGAACAGTCCAACTCAAGAGGGACACCTGGTCACCACAGTCCAGGCTGGAAATGTGTGTGTGAGTGCGCAGGTGTCCTCTGGCTTGTTGCCCCCCTTACATCACATAGTTCATTAACACTGAGTTTATTCAGATAAAAAGTCAAAGGTCATTCACCGACAAATACTTGTTTCTACACTGACAACAGGAGACAGACACTGTAGATTTCACAATAAAAGTTAAATATAAACTTTCAGAATGAAAGCCCCTGTTTATGTGCATCCACATTAACATGTTTAAAAGGAAGCTTTGTTTTTCAAAGGAAAATTTTAACATGAATTTCTCTGTTAGTCCATACTAGAATAACATCTGCCTCAGAAAGGGCACAAAGACAGTGTTGGCAGCAGGTACAGTGTGGTCAGTGTGTCTCACCTCAGCCTCTGCCTTATCTGTTGTCTTCAGCAGTGCTTCCAGTTCACGGTGCATGGATTCTTCATGCTGTTGCCGCAGCTTCTCCTGAAACTCTGTCATTGCTCCACTTCTGAGGTCTTGAAAGAGATTGAAACTTTATTAAAGTCACCACAACCTCCTAAATTTTAAAAAATGTTATAAAAACAAATGCTACACAAATTACATTTTGTTCAATAACAACAGATAATACTTAGTTGAAACTTGGAAAGTTTTCGAAAAGAGTTTGCGCTCTGAAACTCTAGCCTATCAACGTAAACTCTCTCTCACAAAACCAAAAGATCCAGCAAGAACGCTTTTACTTACCAGCTACAAGTAAAGACATTTTAAAGACTTCCGTGTTAAAATTTAAAACTGAAGAATGTAAAGAGGGAATTTAAAAATAATCAGAAAAAATAGGTGAATTATGGTGTCACTGCTTAAACAAAGCAGTGAGTGTGAGAGAACAAGAGACGTCTGTTGTCATCCTTAGCTCAGAGGAAGGTTGGTGGGGTTGAGAGAGGGGGAGAGAGACTGAGAGAGGGAGGAGAAGGACACAGACAGAGGGAGGGGGAAAGAATAGGAGCACAAGCACCATTCACACACACACAACTATGACGTCTATAATGTTCATTGTGTGAATAATTTTCTAATTAAGTCAGTCAAAAGAACAGTGATGAGAACTGCTGCTGAATGTTCTGACTTTGTACATAATTGGTTTTGGAACTGTTGTAGTTTGTGGTACCGTTTTTAGTTTCTCCAGCAGAACTGTCATTAAGTTTTGGCACTGTGCTTTAACTGATATGCAGAATAATAAGTACATACCCTATACTATGCATATACATATATATAAGGGATGTCCGACAATATCGGCCCAATATTAGCATATTTGTAATATCTGTAAGAATCATTATTGGTTTTTCCTCCGATAATGAAAACCAAATGCCTGGGTTGAGCCCTACTACTACTATGGAGGAAAAGCACATATGCAGGCAAAACGATTCCTAGTTCTTATCCTTGTACCTATGTTGAAACTGTTGCCGAGTTCCTGGTACTCATCTTACATTTCAGATGGAAATGCTAATAACTCCCAGGACAGTTTTCTGTTCGTCAAAACATACACACTCACACACGTCATTCCCCAGTGAGGAGAGTGAGGAAACACAGGTCTTAATTATCACTAATTATCCTGAGTGAATCTTAATCATAATCCCAAACCTTGACCTAGAACAAAGTCTAGTCTCTAAAATAGATCCTGAACTGCTGAAAATAATTATATATGAATATATACATATAATTCTTACGTAGTAGTAACTCCTCTGGGGTTTTGTTGTCACTTCTCATTTCTTGATATTAGTAAAATTTACACAGCTCCTAAATTAATTTGTTTATTGTCTCTTGATAAGGTCATTGTATGCTTTGCAACTTTCACACCTACTGTTAATATGAAAGTGGAAGTGTTATTTTAAAAGGCAAAAGCAAAACATATTCTTTGGTGAAATCTAACCAGAGTTGCTTGTTGACAACCTGTCTGAAGTTCCTGGAACTATTT